AAAAAAAAAAAACACACAAAAAATCAAAATCAAGGGCCATTCATTTCATTTCAATTCATAATGATGAAGAAAAATACTTTTACCAATTTGTTCCTTTCCCATTTGTATTCATTTGGTCCTTCAATTATTTTTTTTTATTTGTTTTTAGATTCTTTGTTGATGATGTGCCCATAAGACGGTATCCAAGGAAAAGTGTGGCAACATTTCCCTTGAGACCAATGTGGGTTTACGGGTCGATTTGGGACGCCTCGTCGTGGGCCACAGACGACGGCAAGTACAAGGCCGATTATCGTTACCAACCGTTTGTCGGAAAATTCACTAACTTCAAAGCAAGCGGTTGCTCCGCCTATTCTTCTCCACGGTGCCGAGCGGTCTCCGCCTCTCCCTCACGATCGGGCCGCCTCACGGGCCAACAAACGAGGGCCATGCAGTGGGTGCAGAGCAACTACATGGTCTACGATTATTGTCGGGACTATAAAAGGGACCATTCTTTAACTCCAGAATGCTGGCGTTGAACAGAATGAAATTATGAGACAACTTTTTATTATACAAAGTTTCGAATTTTATGACGTGTATTTAAATTTCGATTTGGGGCTAGTTTTCCCTCCTTTAAGTAAACCATGTCGGTTTATTGAGATGCTTGACATATATCCCTTAAGGGTTGTTATAGAGCATCCAAGCCTCCTAAAAAAATAATTGGGGGGAAAAAATTAAAAATTGTGCATTTGGATATTGTGTGTGTGTTTGTTTGTCCTCCATGTATATTACCTAAAATGCATAGACACGTGAGGGCGAGAGATTTTTGTAAGAGTTGAATAATGAATGAAGAGTGAGCCGCCTATATATTGGCATTGTATTTTACTTTCAAAAGAGTATATTCACTTTGTCAATTCTCAATAAAGCAAATTATTTTTGTTTGTTTGATTGATTTCTACTTTTCTAGTGCATAATTCCCCTTGATTGTCAATGTAATTTTAATAAGGTTGGTTCATACTTTGTTCTGTTTCTTGTGATATTCTTTAATATTTCACGTATACTTTTTTTGAGTTATTAATATATTTACCGTTCGACAAAAAAAGAAAACAAAAGAAAAGAAAAGAAAAACCAAGTCTCTTGTGTGTCGTCATTTCATTTTTTCCCATCATTGCTTGAATTATTAATTAATCTCTTTTCATATCCTCCATATAAATAAGTATGTGTTATAATCAATGTGATGAATGACTCGATTCCTTTGATTAATACAATTGTAATAACGTATATCTCGTGTGTATAGCTGACAATTTCAAGTTCGACCTAATCCATATGCACAAGTATGTGTTATAATCATTGGGAATGACTCGATTCCTTTGATTAATAAATGGGTGTTACTAATTACTGCCCCCTAATAAAATAACTTTACGTACATCGGAGGCAGTGAGAATGTCAAGTCTCCGACGGATGGCTATGAGACGCTCGTCCTTCCTCTGAACCGCCGGTGGGCTCCACATCTTAGATCGTGCGGAGTCGTTAGGACCAAGGGGTAGACGTCCCCCTGGGGTCGGAAATTGGGGTAATACTCATAAATCCAAGACTGCATAAGAGTTAAGCAGTCGGAAAGCTGTCTGGAGTCCCCTTTGCTGGCAATACCTAACTGTCGGTACAAATATGCCAGCGTAGCCGATTCCCACGAGTAACCCCCAATGGCATCCACGTCGTTAAGCACCTCGGCTGGGAGCTTGGGAGTCACTCTACTACCACTATTGTCGCCGAATAAGGTGGTAGACAGCAGCAACCAAATCCAGGCACCAGCCTCATCCAACGCCAACTGGTCTTTACCCCAGAATTTCTCCACAACGGAGCCTTCTGCCACACAACCGCACTGCAAGAACGTCCCAACAAGGTCAGTCTTACTGACCGAAAGTATATCCATGCAATAATCCTGGCAGGCCTTTGTATCCGGCTCCTCAACGACCATGGATCCCTCTACAGGAATGTCCAAAATGGCCCGGACATCGTGTAGCATAATGCTCTTTTCACCAAAAGGCAGGTGAAATGAGTTAGTATCTGGCTGCACCATCGCTCCACAAATGCAGTAAGCAGTGGAGTGTCCAAGTGGGCGTGCATGGAGTCTGCCAGATGTGACAGTCCAGTACCCTTGATCATATCAAGTGTCTCGGAAGACATATCACCTCGCCAATCTTTTAGATTACCGAACGCTTGCACTCTGAGATGGCATTTCAGTAAGCCTCGTCACTTTCCATTCCACAACCGCGAGGCTACGTGCCCTAGAAAGCTAGGGATCACACTGTCATCCATGGGCCCACCATCCACTGGACCTCTAACGATCCACTCTGCGTCACGATCAGTCCTAGATCGTTTGCTAGTACCTTCATTAGAATAGAACTTGGATTGCTTTCGGCAAGGAACTTTCTCTCTTAAAGATGGTATTCCAGGCCAGGCAAATGGTTTAGCTGAATTAGCTGTAGCCGTCGGCGCTCTTCCTGAAGTGAAGAAGGGAACATAATGTCACTAAAACAGGGCTAAAGGTCGTTTTGATATAAAGTGCGCAAAAAACGGAGCCAAAACGAGTACAAACGAGCAAAAAAAAAAGCAGAGTCTGTTAAACTCGCGACTTCGTCTGTGCAGGATGAACAGGTCGTGAAGGAGCCGCAGGCTGCACAGGAACCGTAGTCTGTGCAGGAATATCGTCATCGCCCTCATCATGTGAAGATGCCGACTCGTCAGAATCCTC